GTATAACTTAAACTAAAACAAACCTTAAGGTAAATTCTCCGAATGAATAAAATTATTAATGCGTAAGCCCGATTGTGTTTTCAAAGTAGGTTTGTTATACGCTTTATGCGTAGAATTTATTTTAAATATTTTAAACATTGATTTTAAAATTTTACAACAAAAATATTATATATATGGGTGATTCTACAAAAGTTTGGCAACTTTTGACCTCATTTTGTTTATATAGTTTTCGGAGAAAATTTAACAGTATTTTGTTATGAGAACATAGATAATATAATAAATATACTGTTCCAGTCCGGTCCAGTCACTTTTTCAAACAATTTCTGAATTATCTGTATTTTATAAATTAGAATGCAAGGGAAGTGACGAGTATACCAGGGTACTAATTAAATACATAATTTATTGGAAAATATAAGATTTATTGCAACTTTAAGCATATTATACATTAAATATCTTAAAATCAAATAATACCACACATCAGTGGCGGCTGGTGGATTTTGAGTATACCGATATCTCAATTATTAGATATGGGACCCACACCAAATTTATATGAGTTTATAATGACATTAAATAAACAAGTTCTGCGCAAGCAGAATTTAAATTAAAGTTTACGAAAAAACTAAACTAAACATCGAACATGGAACTGACGACACAGTACTGATGAATGAGATACAAATTTGAGATTATAATTCGGAATTAAGTATTTTACTGATATTTTTTATTAGTGGATGCTACTTATCAACAAATCAAATATAGCCATAAGGCTATATATATAAATAAATTACAATGAAATATATATACGTAAGAAAATAACTACTCACCACTGTACTGAAATTTTGACTGGAACTATACGTGCATTTACCACAACTTCGCCGCTTGCATTGTTTTCAAGATGACTGTCGTGCAAAGGGCGGGCTCTGTAGGTAATTTTTTACCAACACTTGAGTTAAAACGAGGACTTGACGTTTAAACTTCAATATTTCGCAGGAATTTTGAATTTTAACATTGGACACAGAACTGACGGGTAAAAGTGAGTACAAAGATTATCAATTTTTTAAAAATTGCTATTATTCGAATCTATGATAAAATATGAAAATACATTATTTAAAGTTTTAGTTTGTAGTGAAATTGAAAAATTTAAGATAAATTGAATATATTTTTAAATAAAATCACTCAAATATTTGATTCAGGAGTTGTGACACGCCAAGGTACTGATGTTTTGAATATTTATTATGTTTTTCTACAAACGTGCTTTTGAAAAAATACATTAAAATTGGGTGGACAAGTTAAAAAAACTGGATCTTCTGTAATATACTAAAATATTTACAAAAAATATTAAAATACCTACTCTATTGACTGATGACATCAAGTTGTCCAAATTTTGTAGAATCACCCATATGTATCAAGTTTGATGAACTTTATTTTAGGCACGCGTGAGCCTGCGAGCGAATGCTTAATTAAATAGTGCCTAGAAAAGTTTGTAAACGAGTTGCATAAACACTTTTTCTAAGACAAATATTTAATATTTTCTAAAAAAAATTATTTAAATTAAATATGTGTATAAAGCGACATCTATACAAAAATAAAGTAACCATCCCAATAAACGTTTTTGACGTTATTTTAACCATTAACATTGCTCGTTATTATTTTAATTAAACTTAACAAATATTGATACTTTAAAAAATAATATCCTTTATTTTTTTATTACTACTATAGTAGTATATAATACTTAATAATAATATTTTGTATTAGTATACTAATACAAAATATTATTATTAAGTATTAAAAATTCTTATACTTACAGGAAATGTTAACTTTAAAGATTGTATTACATTTTAACGATTTTATGACATATGACAACTGTCAACTAACTTAAAACTAACTTCAGCCCGTGACTAAAAGGCCATAAAGCCACAACTTGTCATGGAAACATGTACGATAATGGAAGTAGAAAAAGAAGAGAATCACGTATGAATTATATAGAGGCGCTGTTGCCAAACTACTTTAAATGTTTATTTTTGACAGCTCCAAAACAAAATCACACAAATACCTATCTTTGCAATTATGAATGGCGAGTGCTCCGGGCTTGCAATTTAAATGGCGGATGCGCTCGTTGACGTGCGATAAAGCGTTTGTTGGTTTCGCCATTGTTTTTGTGTGCCTGTCTAGCGCAGCGGATGTAGAGGGCAAAATAGATTTTAACTATTAATTAGATATTTTGCTGGCACTAGAAAGATTAACTGGATTCAATCAATTCACAGTTCCGTTCTCTATGATAATGGATTGTCATAATTGGAGTTTGAATTTTTAAAAAACTTTACTGAAATATTTCAAAATGTCTCTCTGAAAATGTTTTCGTGTTATATTCCACAAACAAGTGAATCTCTTCTATACAAACTTCATAAAAAATATACATGAAGATTGGCATTTGAAAGTCCGTTTTAATAGGAATTTATACAAATAGTCAGTTTTCAATTATTTTATTTCGGTACATAAAAAACCTCATCCTATAATAATTAGGTTTACTATGGTGAATATATGTAAATGTCTAGTAATAACATAACATAAGTGGTTCTGCACTAATGCAAGAATTTTAAAAATCATACATTTTAAATATTAGAGCTTCACGGAAGATAGCTTCACGGAGGTTAGGATTTCGTATGTTTTTTTTTAAATATCCCTCTGTATATTTGAAATAAGTTATTGTATCTTTCGACACCTTAATATTTAAAAAAAATACAGTTGTACATACATAAAATATTTATAAAAAAATCTACTTACTGAGATATTACACTTCACGGTGGGTAGGTTTTTATATAGAAAATTAAGGAACTTAAACTTTTGAATTATAAAACAGCAACACTCTCATCTGCATATAAATTCCAACTGACCTTCAGGAATCACATGCATCTATAATGTCGTAAACAGAGGTTTTTGCTTATTTAAAATGATTAAAGCGCCATCCGTTGCATAAAATTTAAAGCAAACACAGATTCACGGAGGATAGAATCAATTTTTGTAACACCTACATAAATGGTTATGAAAATTATTTCTTTTAATTTTTAATAATATTTTATACTTGATTCGATTGCTTTGGATGTATAGGTTTTAGACTTTAAAACGTTGTAAAAAATAATTAATTGCTGTAATATCTACTTAATTATGAAAACACAATAAAAGTGTAGGTCAAACTCATTTAATTTTATTAAATATCACATTTCGTGAGATTCACCCATAAGCTTTAGAATTACCAATTTATATTATATAATTGTAATCTAAATTGGTAATTCCAGAGCTCTGTATACAGATTGGTAATTCCTCCGTTTAAATAGTTGCTTGCATTTGATAAAAATTCGATTTGAAACGTAATTCAGAAAATCCACGTGTAACATTATTTGATATAAGGTTCACTGCATTTTAAGTTGAAATTTATAATAAAATTTAAAATATATATAAATAAACAACTCTTATTCATAAACATTTCTAAATTTAGCCAATTACTAGATCTATATCAATGACCATCTTTGTCTAGAATAATGTTTGTATACATATTTTTGTTTATATATAAAAATTTATTCAATGTTTATTTTAAACAAATGGAAGGTAATAAAAAACAAATAGAAATTTAAAAATCACAATAAGTTGATTTTTTCGGTTTTAGCCTCGAGTGAGTAAATTATTTTTGAAAGCATGAATAGCATCATAACTATGCATGCTATTTTATAATATTTTACGTTATTTTGGTTTTTAATCTAGTTTGTTTGCAATTTAACAGTGGCGTAGGTATTATATTTTCATTTGTCTTTTCTTCCACATATTATTACAACAAAATTAAAAAAAGTATAACATAAAAATCTATTATGAATTAAAAAAGTATTAAATTGCAAAACTTTATAATGCTAATAAAGTGTCGTTAAAAACATTCAATTCGACCTTAAAGTCATAATTTCCACAACACAAAAAAAGAGGTATTTTTTGTGCGGAAAAAGAACATTAAATTTAGCATATCTAAAGCGAGCAGGCAGGCAACTTTAGAAAACAAAAAAACGCAGGGGCAACTGAAAATTCTCCAGCGCGAAAACGCAAAAACAGGTTTTTCAAGAACAATGGAACAAAACTCAATTTTTTCTATTTGACCGCTTTTAAATACGACATTCATATTTTACATTACCAGCACGGGTCTAATTTTTGAGTAAAAAATAAAATAATTTTTATATTAAAAGACTCGTAAAGGTATATAAAGAGACTGCTTTTTTCACTTTTGGTCTGGGAAACCTAATGGGATAAAGAAAATTTAAGGTCAAATTCGGATTTGGAAAAAACAGTTTGTTAAAAAAATTTTCTTGTGGAAAGGTGAAAAACCCAAGAAGCCACTTGTTTTCTAGATAGTAATTTGAAATTTAACACTTATTTTTTGTGCTGAACCAATTACTACTTTTCAACCTGTAAAAGTAATTTTTACATTTCCTCAAAATAAAGAAAGTTGTTTTTAAAACAATTGAAGACCTCAAGGGAAAAGTTTACCAAACATGCACATAAATACATAGGTATGTATATGTAAAAAGGTTTTTAAAATGAATTTGGAATCCAAATTTTGGATTTAGTACGTCGGAATAATAGTCTGGTTTCTGTAGACCATTGTGGTTAATGACCGTTGCAGATTTAAGTCGTAATAAATTTAGTTCTTTTCACGAGAACACCCCATATGTAAAATTGACAAATAACGTTCTAAAATGCGCAAGAACCATTGGCATAAAACTCAAATAAATATTCATTCCATTGCATTAAACACATTTTATTACATTCCTTTTTTGTTTAAATTTATTAAGGACGTAGCCGCATAACATAACCTAATTTTTTTAATGTCGCCAGAGACTAAAATAAAAAAGTAACAGAATTTACACAAAAGTACCAATTTCATAAAAGAATAAAAATGATTATCAGAATACATTTGTACAACATCTGGTAACACTGATTATTTTAAAACAAAAACTACTTACCAAAACTTCGCGTGAACAAATGAATAGCACCTGAAACTTTGTCAGAATGTTTCACAAGTTATAAACACACCACAGAACCGCCACAAAGTTTAAACCATAAAAATGGCACTAAAATATCAAAGAATAAGCAAAAAAACTGTTAAGTTTTTCGTATTTGACCGCTTTTTATGCGACACAGCACGGCACTCTGCGCGAATACGCAGTGGATTGGCGGTGGTGGGGATTCCACGGCCAGTTGCGATGCTACGTTGTTTTTTGCAAAACGGACGAGAGACAACTGAGGATCGCGGCGACGGCTGGCGGACACCGGGTAGATGGCGTTGGGGTGCGAAAGCCTTCTCTGCCAGGATTTTGCTCCTGCCGATGCTGCTGCTACTGCTGCAGGATGCAGGATTTTCAGATGGTGCAGATAAATGTTTTTTATTAGAAATTTAAATTTAAATGGGGCCAAATTTAAAAAAAGTTATTAAATGTACAGGGTGGACGATACCAACTTTCTTATTTTCAATGGAACACCCTATATTTTTTTGCATTTTTGGATTCTACACACTCTTTTAGGTATACTTTGTAAATATATTAATTAAGAAAATGTTAATACTTTTTGAGTAAAATGAGGATTTATTAAAATTTCTCTAAATGTAGAAATTCGCTAAAAGTTAAAAATAACCAACTAAAAGTTATTATTTTTTATATTATGTAGCATTCATCTCTTTAATAATAAGTAAGCTATAAGTTAATTAATTTATTTTTTGGAAAATATTATACAGGGTGTTTTCTTTGAATAATGAAAATTTAACTAAGGTAATTGGAAAAAAGCTACTAATTGTGAAAAATGCGAATATTTTTTTTTCTGTTAGGTTTAGGTATAGGACATATATATATATATATATAAAATGAAAGGTAATTACTTATTCTATCCAATTATGCAAAAATATATAGGGTGTTCCATTGAATAAAAACAAGATTTTAAACTTTTAAAATCACTATTTTCAACGGGACATAAAAAACACCCTGTATGATATTTTCCAAAAAATATAATAATTAACTTATAGCTTACTTATTATTAAAGAGATGGATACTACATAATATAAAAAATAATAACTTTTAGTTGGTTATTTTTAACTTTTAGCGAATGTCTACATTTAGAGAAATTTTAATAAATCTTAATTTTACTCAAAAAGTATTAACATTTTCTTATTTAATATATTTACAAAGTATACCTAAAAAAGTGGGAAGAATCCAAAAATGCAAAAAAATACAGGGTGTTCCATTGAAAATAAGAAAGTTGGTATCTTCCCAAGGAAAACCGAACACCCTGTATAAATGAAAATATAATATTTTAAAAATATTTTTTACTTCGTGAATATTTGTTCCTTACAAATTTTTTGTGACTCCAGTAGTTTCTGAGATAAGTATATGGGTCACCTTACGTGGACCACCCTGTACATTTAATGTACCTATATTTATTTCAGGGTTGGAAAAAATCATGATATTCATATAAATATCAAAATATCAGATATATATCAAGTTTTGATATTTATTTTTTTAAATAATTTCTAAGAATATTTAGAGTAGGCTACTATTAAAAGCCAAATAAAATTTATTATATTACATATAACAAGAAAAGGAACACATTTATAACAACTTTGTTATTGCTAAATTATCGTCGGATTCCTCAGAATCGAAACCGAGCCCTAACAAATTCGGGGAATCATAAATGTAAATAAAGTACGTATTTTTCTTGGAGTATTCTGCCACTGTAAATATGTAGCGGCATGAACGAATTTTCCGGACAATCCGGTTCGAAGGACCATGTATTGTTGGGGTGCAGAGCGCAATGCTGAGCACAGTGCAATTAAGGCACTTGTAGTTTTCTCTTATAGACTTTAAACACTTAATGTAACTGAAGAATAAAAATGTGGACTGTATTTTATAGGTTTATTTTTAGAGACCTTACAATAGCTACTTCTATATAAGACTGATTTTAAAATTACAAATTATATAAAATGTGGTGGGGACAGCCTTACTATACAGAGCGGTTACTTATATTACAATATAAAACTAAAAACTTAACAGCCATTATTATAAATAATTCCTAATTATTGGGTATGTGGGTAGGTATATAAAATTTTGGTTTTAACAAATATGTTGCTTTGTAACAATGAACTAGTAGGCAGCATATGAAGCTTACTGTACGCTTCATATTTACAGTGGCAGTATACTTTACAAAAAAATCTGCACTCTAGTAATAAAAACATTGTTTCACGGATCGACATGCGGCTTGCTACCTCTGCTAACAATTTTAGGCTAAAATTTTTAGCCTGTTTAAAGTAAGAAAGAGAAATACCCACTTTTTTATTTTTTTTAAATAAATATTATGATATACATAAAAAAAATAAAAAAATATATATCAAAATATAAATATCATGATATACATAAATGATATATATCGGATATACATAATTGATATTTATAATAATAATAATAATAATGTCTTTATTAATTACGTATACAAAATACAATAATTAAAAGGCGAAGTCTAGCCAGGCTACTCCACTTAACCGACCCTGCCAACCCTGATTTATTTACTTCTACTTTTTATTAATTTCCACCAAAAAACATTAAGTTATTTGTTGGATAGGTATACTTTAAAAAGTACAGGTAATTCTCCAATAATTTTAATATATAGATCAAAATTTTTTTAAATATAAAATTTGTCAGTTTTTTTTCTTGAAATTATTTTTTGACTTAAGTCATCAAAGCACTAGTACTTTTCCTTACCGTCCCTTACCTTATTTATAAAAAAATGGCAAAAATCTTTGATATAGTCAAAAATTTGCTTTTAACTAATTTATAACTGTATTTGTGATGCCTTAAAAAGTTTGTCATGTAAAATTAATGTTATACTTACATTTTAGAAAGTCCCACATAAATTGGAAAGCAATTTAATTTAAGGGTCTATTTTTTGACTGGAATAAGCCGTGTCTAAATTGCTGTTAAGGCTACATTAACAATATACTATTTTGCCAGCAGTATTCATTAATTTTGCTGCATTTTTTTAATATCCAGTTAATTTTAGTTAATTTATAGTTATTTTAGTTATGTTTTTTAATTTAAATTGACGGAATACCTAATAAAATAAGTAAAAGTAATTTTGCATTACAACATTTACACATACAAATTAAATATTTTTTCTACTTCCACCTTTAAAACGCCCTTTATTGTACATGTTTCCATGACACTAAGTGACCTTTTAAATACACATTGACAAGTTGTGGCTTTACGGCGCTTTAGTCACGGGCTGAAGTTAGCAACAGGTTTTTAGTCACGGGCTGAATTAAGTTTTAACTATAGTTTTAAGTTAGTTGACAGTTGTCAAATGTCATACAATCGTTAAAATAAAGTGCCTTTCTTGTAAAATAATACTAAATGTGAACATTATTTTATTATCTCAATACAAAAATACAAAAATATTAAATAGATTCTCAACGCCAATATTTGAAAAGTTTATATGAACATTGTACTGACCTTTTAATTTCGCCGGCAGTAAACTTTAACTTAAATTCGGGCACGGACTCTATTGTAAAGTCCTCATAAAACATTTCCTTTACTTTCAGTGTGAAAAACTGTCAATTTTCAAGATACATTACGATTTATAACCTTTATAATTGTGTTTATGAAATGTAAAAATGTGACATTTGACAGTTTTCCCTGTTGTTTCATAGATGGCGCTCTATACAAATTTTTGATTTAAATCATTTTAAGATAATAATAAGTATTTGTCGTAGAAAAAGTATAGTATGCACCTCGTTTATAAACTTTTTTATACACTCATTAACTTAAGCACTCGCTCGCAAGCTCGCTCGTGCCTAAATTAAATTCGTTTATAAAATGGCGTTTATCAAACTTGATACATAATAAATATACTATTATTATTTGTTTTTATTAAGCTATTGCCTTATCCCGACCAGTAGATACATTTAAAAAAGTGACGCAGAATTTCACATTGATGTTATGAATAAATGTTAAACAATATAATGTTAATAAAGAATCGTGGTTATTGTTAAACAAAAATAATAAATATGTCTATTATTATTAGGGACGGTTCGGAACAAAATAAAAATACGGAAGCAAATAATTACCTTATTATTTCACCGCAAAATCACTTTATGAGACACGTTTTCTTTTTACTTTGTAGGTATTGCTGTAACTGACTAATTCCCGCGTTATTAAGACAAAGTTTACTGCTGGGTCCCAGCTGCTGGGGTAATATGTTCAATTTTATTTTCCACTAAATGCTATAGGGACGGTTAAGGTATAACAATTTCAGTACACTTTTTTAAGGCAAAATTTAAAAAACGTTTAGAGAATATCAATTCGTATTTTTTTAACTTTAATATTTTTTTTATAGAAATCAGACCAGGCGGAGAAAGCACATTATCGCTGAACATACATTTCACTGCCGAGGCGATAGCCAAGGTAGTAGATTGTGTACGAGTAAAGTAAATAATTTTCGGAAACTGACGATTTATTTAAAATTACCTACCTAAATTTCGTTTTATTCATTAAAAATATTGAAATATATTATCAAAACTTTGGAAAATACCTCCCGCCTACATCACTGAGTAGGTATTATATAAATTGTATATCCTATAATTATTTAATGGTTAGGTTAAACCATGCATGATATTATAATGATAAGCTTATAATGTATAGTTAATATAAATAATGCAGATACTAATTAGGTATGTATAAATCTATAAATCCACAATACCCAACTTTTTTTATCACATAAACATTTTTTCTGTAAGTATACTTATACTTATCCTATAATTCAAAGGATTAAAATGTCAGTACAAATTTGCTAGTAAAACGAATGTTGTTTGAGGATCAAAAACCTCTTAAATTTGACGAATTTCCGGGCAGAACGAATATAAGAAAACCCATTGTTATTACGAATTCGAAACTTAAAGTTTCCATTGTTCCGGAGCCGATCCCGCGAAGGCTACGGCCGGCCGGCGCATTTTAAAGAACCGTTTATATTCCTCTGATTATAAACTGCCAGTGTTTTTCCACGGCCATTGTGCAAAAGTTTAGCTGTAGCAATGAAAGACTTGCACTAATTACTAGTCCACAGTAGCGCAACTAGTGTTTGGGCAAAAAAAGTAAAAAAAAAACTAAAAAAACTAAAAAAAACTAAAGAAACTAAAGAAACTAAAGAAACTAAAGAAACTAAAGAAACTAAAGAAACTAAAGAAACTAAAGAAA